AAATTTCCTTATCATAATAAACTTAGAAAACAATCAATCATCCTGGAAGGATTGGAACAACTCTTACCCAACTCACAACATCAGTTACATAAAAATCCCACAGACCGATACTTAAGGCTTGATCACTGTTTCAAGGGAAATTTTATTCTGGACGCAGTCATGTACGCTTATAACCCAGCAGTGGGGATTCACACAAGAGGGTGGAAGAGGTCAAGGCCATCACAGGCAACACAGTGAGACTCTGTCTCAAAACACCCACTTTTACAGAATTAGAAACTGCAAATTAGGAAGTGGGATACCATAAAGGAAACACTCAGCTGATTTAACCTTTCACCTTTTCACATTTCTGTGTATTTGTGTAAAAGTAGAACTAATGGGATGAGAATAAGATGCAGATGCGGTGAGGAACGGTGGGGCATGGATACGGTCAAAGTACACGATATATTCATATTCAAATATCTTCTAGGACACCATCACTGTGAGCAATAAATATATACCTATAAAGTTATATTAAAATATTATCCCTGGGAGCTAAAATTATAAATTTGGAAGGATTGTATATAAGTATAAGCCAAGGGGTTAGTAGCCTTAATATATAAAGAACATACATAAATATATAACATAGGGGGGAGAGAGAGAAGGAGGGAGAGGGAGAGAGAGAGGGGGGAGAAGGGGGGAGAGAGAGAGAGACCAAAGCAGTTAGGAGGAGGACAAAGCTGGATAGGCCCACAAGTAACAAGCGTGTTTAGTGGAAGTACGCCTCAGCTTTGACAGGGCACAGCACCCTGAGACCTGCTTAGCCTTGGTAGCTGCAAAGATGCAGGAATCACTAAAAGTAGCAGCAGATAGGCCATGGGGATGCTGCAGCAGCATCTGCAGCATCTGCAGCATCAGCAAGGGGCAGTAACATAGCAGAAGACTGCCCATGTCTCCACCAATCCTCACGAGCTGCAGTTCAGGTCAGGGAGGAGCTAACAGCACATGCTGATCATAGATCCAAGACCAGAATTCCCTTCCTAAGCTCCACCCCACGTATGGGTAAACTGAGTCCTCTCTGCACCTGATTACCTCCTCACTGACACCACACCCCTTCTTGATCCCATCTGACAGCTTCACTCTGAGCTGCCAAGCTGGCAGGAGCCTTTTCCTCCGTACCTTTCTCCTCCTTCATCCCCACACCTAGCAATGGGACAGCCCGTCTCTGGTCTCCAGGCACCCTGTCTCTGGTTCACAGTACTAACAATCTGTCAAGAATTATCTTGTCCTCTCTAAAATACAGTAGGAAAACACTTTCCATCGGGTTAGTTCTGAAAGCTGGGAAATCCAAGACACAAGTAGATCTGGTGCCCAGTGGGGACTCGCTCCTGTAGGTGGTGTATTCTGTGTCTTCAAGCTGTAGTCCTGAATACACTCCTTGGTGCTCTCAGGAGGACTCTGCACCCATGACTTGTTTGCATAAGAGCCCTGCTCCTCAATACTACTCTGTTGGGATGAGAGCGTATGAATTTTGTACATTCTGGGAACAGCCGAAGTCCTTGTCTCCCTCAGCTCATGCCTCCTCATTTTCAACACAGCAACACTAGAGTTGAAATCACACGATGCAGAGACAGTAATTACCAATCCACGCCAGTTCTCCGAGGCCATAAGTATTGTTCCATTTTGCAGATAAGGAAAGCAAGGCTTGAGCACTTCAATTACGTTTCTTCCGAAGACAGTGGTTTTGAATTTGAGGTGGGAAGCATGAGGAGACCGTCTTCATTAGGGTCTCTAACTCTGTGATGAAACACCGTGACCAAAGGTGACTCGGGAAGGAAAGGGTTTACCTCAGCCTGCTTACTCTCAGGGCAGACACCATCACTGAGGGAAGTCAGGGCAGGAACTTGCAGGAGCTGCAGCGGAAGCCATGGAGGGGTGTTCAATGCTGGCTGGCTTTCCATGGCTTGCTCCGTTTGTTTTCTTGTAGAACCCAGGACCACCAGCCCAGAGGTAGTACTTCCCACATTAATTATCAATCAATAAAATGCCCTACAGACTGCCTTCCTAGGTTTACAGATTGACCTACTTAGGCCAATCCAATGGAGACATTTCCTCCATTGAGAGATGTCCCTCCCTTGTGTCAAGTTGACATGAAACTAGCCAGCACAGAGGTTGACGATGGGTGAGGACACATTGAAGGCTGGGCACAGCAGCTTAACATCCTCTCCTCCAGGCAACTACCCAGTATTTAATTTCTTTTCAGTTAATGATCCTAAAGGCTGTTGAGTGTTGCTTACATCTTCTCTTCAGCTCATATTCTTCACGGTTGCTAAAGGACTAAGGCGTCCTCCTAGATCTCTGAGACATAGAAGCAGAGGTCCCTGATGTCCCCCCACAAGTGCCCCACAAGAAGCCCACCTCCATTCTCCTAACTGTAAAAAGGCCTCTCTCTGGAGGCTTTGTAGCTTTGGAAAAAACGAGCAGGAGAGGGGCTGGAACCACACAAGCAGCAGTCCACAGGCTCAAGAAACCAAGGACTTTCCTTCGGGAAGATCATGAAGTAATTCTTCTTTGCAGCACTGGGGTTTAAAGTCAGTGCGCTAAGAACACAGCCACTGTCAGCTGTATAATCGCCACACCGCCCTCGGCAGCCCCAGGTTAATGGACTGTCGTTCAAGACTTAGGTATAGCCAGAAACCATCCACAGCTCTGAGAAAGCAAGACCCCCTTCCTCACCTCCTAACGAATCCATCTATCCATGTAAACATTTATTGGGTGCCTATTGTTTGCCTGTGGGCTTTAGATACGTCCCTGCGTTCAACGAGCACACAGCCTAGAGGGAGAGACAGGTGATTAAATGGATAATTATGCTGCTGAGTGAATGCGGATAAATGTGAATTATAAGGGACAGGCTAAATTAATCATGGAACAGCATACAATAGAGTTCTATATAGCCATTAAAAAGAATGATGAAGCACCATATTCACTGACATGGAAAGGATCTCTACAGTATGTCAAAACAGGAAAAGGGAGTGATATTGCAAAAGGAACACTCACAAGGCTTTTCTCACTGGGAAACCGCGAACTGGAGTGTACAAATAACTTGAAGAATGTCCGCCAGCCTACCTGCCAGTTACCGATGGCTTTCAGACAGAGTTCACCTTATCTTTCACTCCTTTCTAGTTTGCTTGTATAAAATAAAATTTTCAAAGTAGAGTGGCTTTCCATGGTGAGAATGAGGAGCAAACAATCAGCATGTTGGACTCAGGAGTGGAGACCGCACACCCACTCACGTGGAAAACAGGTTCTGCAATGGTTTCTGGAAGGTGACCCATGTGTCTAAGCTGGCTCTCACTTTTGGTTACCTAGCAATTGTGAACCAGGCTGAGCAGAGCACATGTGAAAGCTGAAGACTGGAGGGAGAGAGGAAGAAGATGCAGCGTGCGTTGCCTGCAATGCCGACAGTTTCTTGATGCTCACTACCAAGCTTCTGTTGACAACCGGAACCATTTGTGGCAGATACTGCAATATGTCCAGCCTCAGCGGCACGCCCCCAGCCCCACATGGATACCATGCCTGACTGCACAGCACAGAAAGGGGGGCCGGACACGGTGAACACAGTCCATGGGTACTCCCTGCTCTCACATCCACGGAAGACTGGGTGTTAGTTTCATTCATTCGTCTAGACTGTAATTTAACCTTGATGGCCTCATCTGTTCTTGTTCTAGCTCCCAAATAACTGACACAGAGACCTACTAAGTTTATTAACAAGCTGCAAGCCTAGGTCGGGCAGGTTCTGAGCTATTCCAACCCTCCAAGGCTGCTAATGCCCAGACAAATGCCCCATTACTTTCCAATCTGGTCTTGCTCTGGCTCTCTCTGGTCCACGTTATGTTGTCATGAAGACTCCCTTGGTGATCTGCTCATGACAACTCCTCCTGGACCCTCGGCCTCACGGTCACCTCTTCTCATGGTCTTCCTGCGCTCTCTCTGTCTCTCTCTCTGTCTCTCTCTCTCTCTCTCTCTCTCTCTCTCTCTCACCTTTCCCTTGGCTCCGAAGTCCAGCCTTCCTGTCTCCTCTGCCCAGCCATAGGCCAATCAGCTCTTTATTAACCAATCAGGGATAATTGGGGAACATTCCTTACACAACAGTGATCCTGGAGCCGGTTCAATAATCATGACAATGCTGGCACTAGGACTGTAACCAGATCTCTGGGCACAGAAATCAGCATCTGAATACACAGTGAACAAGTCCAACCCCCAACACATTAACATAAACTCTTCAAGACCATCCACCGTATACCCACCTTCGTTGGGGACAGTGCCTAGAGGTCGGTAAAGCAGGTGTAGCCTCTGTCCTATGCCACTTAGGATCTGCAAGGCGGAGGGACTAACAGAGGTTCTGGGGTCAAACCCTGTGAGTTCAAATCCTGACTTTCCATGCTCTAGGTGGGTAAACCTGCCATGTAGTTAACCTTGCTGGGTTTCAGCCTCCTTGTCTGACAAGGGGCCACAATTCACTGGGGAGAGTGTGTGGGGACAGGACGTGTGTGAAGGGCTTGGCGCGGAGCCTGGAGCACAACTGCCCCAGTGAAGTTTAATTCACAGTGTAGGCATCCACACTCTGTGACCAACTGTCACAGAAGTGCATGGCTGTGCATGGAGCAGAGACCAGTGCTCACAGCAGCACAACCATAGAGCATCTCCCAGCTTCAACCCCGTCCTTCCCGGGATATATCAGTCCACGAGGGTGAAAAGACAACATAACAAACCTCTTCTGCGTTGAAATCACAGGCATCAAGAACCCACAGTACTGATTAATTTCTGAGCCCCGTGGCTCGACTCGGACAATACGTAAAGGAGCACACAAGCAGAATGTTAACGTCCTCTCGTTCTGAGGGAATATATTGTTGAGGCCTTTCCGTGCTGACCTTTCCCCGCACAGAGTATGTTTTATTAACTGGCCACGGCTCCTCCCCTGCAGGCCTAGGAGGCTATAAACAGCGAGAGTGGTGAGCGGCTGGCCAATCCCGTCTTGGGTTCGCTGGAAAGGTTGAAAGACTGCAGTAGAGCACTGGCGGAGGGACACGGAAGCAGCTTCCACAGTGGTGGGAGGATATGAGAAAGTAGGACTGCCCAGAGGCTTGGCTCTGGTGGAGACTGGTGCCTTCACTCCTGGTCCCGAGCCAAGCGTGACCTTCCTGAGGGCCAATTAATTGCAGGCACCGGCATCTGCCACCAATTCTTCAAGGTAATTAGCTCCACATGTTATCAACAGGAAGTCGGTGCCCACGGGCTCTTGCGATAATTGTTTCAATGTTGGCACACAGTCTGCCTTCGTTGAAAAGGTCACTGCACCCGATAGGTCTCCGCTACCCCCATCCTTTTTGTTAAATGAAGAAAGCTGCCCCCTGCACTGCAGTTCTAGTCAAGGTATTGGATGCAGGGCACAGGTTACCGCGCAAAGCTTCTTCAGCTGTAAGCGTTCTCTAATGGGTACGCTCATCATCTTCTGCGATTGCTAGCATCTGGTGCCACGACCCCTTCAGATGGGCAACAGATGAAAAATAGGTTGGGCTTGGTGAGAGTGCCTGCTGCACAGAAGAAAAAAGGTGATATAAATGAAATGTACTGAGTGATCATGACCAAAACTGTTTAGGAACCTGTACATACACCACAGAAAACTCTTCCAGCGGAAGTGGAGAAAGTGAAACTCTCCCAAGTCTCCTTGGGAGGACCTGTACCCGTGCTACACACAAAGGATGGGCCACACCAATGAGAGCTGTTCTCGCCCCTCCACGCTGTTTCCATCCAACTTTTCTCTGGAACAATCTCTGGAACCCTTCCTTACCTCTCCCCAGTAAACTAATTCCTCCTCACAGTGAACAGCATGCTTCCCTAAAGACTGAGAATGAGGTAAGAACTCACGCTCAGACGCAACAATCCTGTTACTTCTCGCTCCTTACCACGGAGAAACCCTCCTCTAGCTTGTTTGCCCGATCTCCCAGACCTCGCGAGATCTATGATAAACGTTTATGAATGAAGTTTGAACTCACGGTAGGCATTTGATGGTCCCTGGCTGAGCAATACGGAATTCAGGAATTGTTGCTTCTCCAGAGGTACAATCATCAAATTCCTATTCCAGAGCAAACAAGAACAAGAACCACACTGTGATTGGTTCCCAGCGCCAGCGGTGCAGCCAGCAATAACATTCCCAGCAATGCAATCCCACAATACATTGCATCTGCATAGAAAGCTGTCTGTAACGCACATGGCAATGCAGGAAGGACAGCAGCAAGAAACTCACACAGACCGCATTGACTTCCAGAATATTATAACAGGGCTTTTCTCCCACCCTAAGATCCCCATGACCTCAGGCTACATAGCACCAATCTTTAAATTAAGAAGGCCACCACCGCCCTCGCCAGTCTCCTTTAGAGCCATGATACTGCGGGATCATCATCCCAGCACCGGGGACTGAGGTAGGAGGGTCATAAACTTTGAAACTGCCCTGAGCTGCAAAGCAAGATTGCATGTCAGTAAAACAAAACAAAACTAGCAAAATATGAGACCTTGATCTGTCCCCTCCTTCCAAAAAAAGACTCTAGAGATCAGCTTCTGAATGAACAACCAGCCCCTCCCACCTCTCCACCCCTCCCACCTGTCCCAGGCCCGCCCCCCTCACCAGCCCTTCTCACCTGTCCAGCTCCTCCCACCTGTCCTAGCCCTTCCACTCCTCCCACTCCCTCCCATCCCTCCCCCCCCCTCCCTCCCCACCCCCCCCCCCTACCTGACCCAGCCTCACTACCCAGCCTCTGGTCACACAGGCCTCAGCCCACTTCTGAGAAGCACTAAGTCCTGGATCAGGGATCTCGCCACTAACACGTCTCAGGTCACTCCACCCTTGACAGTGCCCCTAGACCCTCCCTCTCCCTCTTGTGAATGCCAAATCCCCAGGACACGATCAGCCTTTCTGCCCCGCTTTCTCCTGTCTGGTCTTCTGCTGGGTGTGAACTTTCCTCATTAGCACTGGCAGACCTGACTCACTAGGCTGTCAAGGTCACGAGGCGAGGGCTCAGATGAGATGTGCTCTGGCTCGCTATTGTCCCAGCTTTGGCACCCGGCAGCAACACATAAAGGTCTACAGAGAGAACAATCGAGCTGGTGGCCCGACCCAATGTGACCTTGTTGGGAAACAGTAAGATTTCAGTAAGAAGCTACTCACTCCATAATAAACATGGGCACACTTAAAACAAGCAGCCAGGATGAGAAGCCAACCCTGCAAGGAAGAGCCTGTTTATGGCAACGTTTTCCACCCTGCGTCTGAAATCTCTCGTTCCGGAAATCCCTCGTTCCAGAAATCTCTCTCTCATTCCCTCTATTATCCTAGAGAGCAGGGCTCCTTAGTGTACTGGCTTCGAAACACCACTCAGGAGAATGTCTGCTTAAGTATTCTGTTTAAAGAAACCGTTGTCTCAGAGTTGAAGGGGAGAGCTGGAGAGCTGGGAGGCTCCAGCTGCCACCTGAACATCTGCCTCACCCTCGGCAGTCTGCACCTGGGTGGACTCCAAAAGTCACAATGTCTGTGGACAAAAGCCCCAAGCCTTACTTTCATGGGTACAGACGGCAACTCGAACAACCTCACGGTTCTGTCACAACATGTGAGGAAGAGCAGCCGACTCTGACTGTACTCACGGCATCCTTTTGTCTCACAAGCAATCTAGTAGGTGGATGGAAGATAATGTCCCCAGTTAAAAAGAATCCGTGTGTGTGTGTGTGTGTGTGTGTGTGTGTGTGTGTGTGTGTGTGTG